AATAGTAATTTTAGTTGGCCAGCCCGGGAATCGAACCCACAATGTCGAGATAACAAGTCTCGCGCTCTAACCGATTGAGCTATGCGGGCTGGCTCTTGGCTCGTTGTTGTTGTTACTGTTGTTATTTATAAATGTAAACTTCCGGAAGAAGGAGGAGTGACATTTGCATTGACCAATGAAAACATTTTACACATCCCGCTCGTTCGATATAAATATTAATGAAGCTAATGACGGAAAATTCCTCAGTGGCCGAGTGGTTAAGGTCGCTGACTTGAGATAACAGGTCCCTCACCGCTGTAGGTTCGATCCTCACTCGGGTCGAAATCTTTCATGTGAGGAAGCCATCCAACTGGCCTACGGAAGGTCGGTGGTTCTGCAGGTGCCCGCTCGTGCCTGAATAATGCCCGGAGGGGCGACTGGGGTCTTCCTCCACCAATAAAGCTGGAAAAAAAAATCTCGGCGGGACGCTCTAGGATGGCCCGACTTGAGTGTACGGTCGCCCATATGGGCTTTCCGGCGGCGACCTTAAATAAACGCAATTAAAAAAAAAAAAAAAAAAAAACAAAAAAAAAAACGGAAAATTGTTCAAATTCAGTTCAATTCTTTCGTTCCTTTTTTTAAAGTAATTTCTGTGTCCAATTTTTAACTCAATGATTTTTTTTTTGCAATTCACAATTTTGTTTTCTTTTTTTTTTTTAAATCATCTTATGACATTTTTAAAGGCCCATTATATGCCTAAGAAATTCTATTTTTTTTATTTACAAAATTTTAAGTTTTGCAAAGGGTATAATCATATTGCATTATCATTTTGTATAATATGGAAGTCAAAATACTACATTGTTAACATTTTAACCATCGATCATAAGACATTACTATACGTTAAGTGCAACTTTATCTTTTTTTTATATAAAAAGATATTTTTCTAAAGAATTAAAATAGAATTTAACCAGACTGTTTTATTTAAATCTTTGTCGTTGGTATTTGCAAATATAGAATCTTAATCTATTAAATTTCTTGAACCAAATTCAATGATTTTGTACATAATATTCCCCCAAAAATCAAAAACAAAAACAAACAAACAAACACAACAACCCCTGTTTGACTGTGATGCTGGAATACCCGTAAAACATTATACGGCTGTTATTAAAGTTACAAACTGGATCTTAGTAATGAAACACCATACTCGTTTACTAAAGTGTATTTTACATAAAACATGCTAAACAAATGTTCAAGATATTGTTTTGCTACTTGGATTTTGATTTTCTTTTTTTAATTAAATTACTCAGACGTCATCAACGTTAACTTTTTGCCGTGGTTATTCATGACGCCATGAATTTTTTGTCTGCCATGTTTTCTTTGAAATCTTTAAAAATATGGATTAGCCAAAATTCAACAGTGTGGTATGACTTGTATCTAACTGTTATTTTTAATATTTTTTAAACAAAACAATTAATACTTATAACTAAATGGTATTTGTTAAAAACATAAATATTTACATGGGCCTATATTTAGACGCATACGACAATCATCCGAGGACTTGAGTCCTGAATCATAGACAGTCACATTGACAAACACAGGAACAGCATTTTTACTACTTGTATCATCCCGGGTATAAAATATGAACACTCCTTTGAAAATTTAAATTTCTGATAAATTTAACTTCTGACATAAATTTTATGGGATCATCTCTAACAATTTTCAGCATTTATTTCCTCTCAAAATACTGTCAGTCCGCGTTTATGATGCAGTTAATTGTATTGATGGGACAAAATTAATTCAAAATCAATACTCAAAACTAAGTGGTATTCAGTATTATTTTATTGAGGACACCTCCAGTTAGCCCCTCCTAATCTCAAAGATTCTCAACGTTCCTGAGTTTACTTAACACTTACATTTTAACCTGAATACAACTTCACTGAAAGGTTAGGACCGTCTTGACTATGGGATTTACGCAATGAATGTGAGTGAAAGTATCGTTCTGAGTACGGGCCTTAGATTCGGTATAATATAACAAATAAAATATGGCCTTTCGGGCAAAATTCAAGTTTACGGACTGAGTGGTCAGATCTCGAAAGGTTTATTGCCCGAAGCGCATTTACCTTTCTTATTCTGACCAACCAGTCCGTACCCGAAAGGCCATGGTTTATTTGTTAAACAATGCACTCAGAATTGGTATCTATTTCCCATAGGAACTTGAAATTGTATCAATATTAATGATAATATGCAAAATATACCCCCTATATAGTATAAATAAACGTTTATTTATACTGTATAGGGGGTATATTTTGCATATTTTCATTAATATTGATAGAATTTAAGTTCCTGTGCTATTTCCTAAGTATAGACAGCTGCATACGGTGGCACAGATGTGACATGTGCGTGTTTTTATTTATCTCTTTGGCCCGAAATACTATGTCGTGGTGCGCACGAGAAACTATGTCGTGGCCACGAGATACTCTGTCGCGGCCACGAGTTACTAAATCGTGGCCACGAGGTAATAAAGGGATGCGCACTTGTGGTCATGAGTTACTCAGTGGTGGGAAGGAGATAACTAAGTCGTGCACGTGCACGAGATAATAAACCAATCAGATTATACTATATATACGTATACGTATATATGAATTTTTTAAACTTTAACTTTAAATTCCTGTTTAAAGTTTAACATGCATCATTCATCTTTGAAATTACTGAAGATATTCACTTTAAACTTGATACATGTCTTTATGATTATATTAGAAAGTCACCTTCCAAGGCCCATAAATCAGATATTAATTTTGACAAAGTTATAGCCCTTTCTTAGACAATCCTGTGATAGAATTGGTCAGTTTGTAATTCAACGGTCTGATAACCTTGTTTATACGATAACTTGAGAATGAATAAGTTCTGGTTTATTTTATTTGGCAGGGACATTGCCCATGGCCAGTAAATAGCTTTTAAGGATGTGTGAGGTCAATGCACTTCATGTAAAATCCTTGTCTGATGAATTATTTTGAAGAAAAAAGCCAGATTTCAGTAGATGACAACCTAATCATTTTTGAGGTCATTGGGTCAAAGATCAGGGCCACACTAACGCTAAAAGCAAAATCATTGTCCAATTAAAAACTTGTATAAATGGCACTTTGACAGACAGAGTTGAAGTTGGGGCATCATTGTTCTATAGCACATGTCTAGATAACCAGGAAAATTCATGCTAATAGTTTAATCTGATTTGTCAATTATCTCGTTCGCACGACTTAATTATCTCGTTCCCATGACTTAGTAACTCTTGGGCACGACATAGTATCTCGTGCGCAGAACTGAATTATCTCATTGCCATAACTAAGTAACTCGTTTCCACGACATAGTATCTCGTGGCCACGAAATAGTTTCTCGTGCACACCACTTAATTATCTCGTGGCCACGACTTAGTAACTCGTGACTACGACATAGTATCTCGTGCACGCCACTGAATTATCTCGTGGCCACGACTTAGTATCTCGTGCACACGGTATAAATAAAAAATAAAAAACAAACCCATGTGATATCTGTGTCCCTGTCAACACAATATTAGAAAAAAGAATTAGACAAAAAAATGTACCATTGCGTAATTTAGATCAAGTCATACCGGATAAAATTTTTTATAGATCTAGGAACTTCAAAAGTTTCAGAACATGGCTCACTCGGTCATATCTACACCTGTAGATCTAATATTGTAGCTAGATCTATATATTGAGTTATGTTCACTATTATATTATCTACTACTTTTCGGAAACGCCAAAACAAAGACGCTTAAATATATAGATCTATAAAAAAATAAATCAAGCGAAAAACAAAAACAAAAAATTTGCAAATGTCACTTTTATGCCACCGTCCGACCGTACAATTCCGAAAGCGGAATTATCTATAAACAGCGCGATACATTTTTGTTACGTCATATGTTAACAAAATTGCTTTCGTCATTATTCCATTTCCGAGAATAAACATTGTGATTTTAGAACAGAAACTGATGGGCAGTTCTTGAAATATGAATTATGATGTGTTTCATTAACATATTTCATTTGCTTACACAGATATAACTTCGCATATGGAGCAATTTTTCATCTGGATTAAAGTTCCGAAGATTAGGAGTCATCATGATTGTCATTCAGAAGTTTTAAAAGTTAGAAATAGGATTTACGGAACTGGATGGAGACTGGCAATGAAGGAATCTTCCGAATGTGGATTTGTCGTAGAAAGATCTGTTTCGAAATTCAACGGGATTCTATAACGCTTAAAACATAAAAGTAAGTGCAATTACTACTCCATGTGACTTGATGCTTTTGTTGCTTATTTTTCACGTTTTTGAAGTTTTACATCATATAGAGTCTGTCGCAACTAAACTGTAACCGTTTGTCGATCCAGCTTTGTAATATACATGAAACGACCCCGAGAACCTCAAGTACATTTTAAAAACATGACACGTGCCTTCATATGAATGGCGTCGGAAAATAAGCAACAAAGATTTGCCGTAGAGAAATCAAACTTTGCTTTTAGAAGAAAAGTAGAAACTTTAGAGTAAACATCTTAGAAAAATTTTCAAGAGGGGAACATTTTTTTAATTCATACCAAAAGGGTAATATATACTCACAGGAACTTGACATTTAATCAGATAGATCATAAAATATGCGTGTACTAGTGATATAGCCCTTATCTCCATAGATCATGTGATATACTGTAGACTATAATATTATATTATATTACTATAGTATACAGTATATATATAGGTGTTTACAATAGGAATGGACTTAGAATTTATTTCTGACTTAGGACTATATATAAATAGATTCTATATAGTGTAATGGGAATGGACTAAGATAACATTTATCCTAAGTCAGAAATGAATTCTATGTATAATCTACCATCAAATACATATTTTGCGAACATTCAATGAGCCGTCCCTCTTTGATTCATAAAAGGCACAGAATATCCCGCCATTTTGTTAACTATTAATATATCGTGACGTCACTATTAACCCAGTTTTTACGGGAAAACCTACTTTTTTTCATTTTGACGTCATGTAAACAAATAGAACGAATATTACAGAAAATATAACAAATAAAGATTGTTGAAACATTGAGATTAAAGAAATTGACAGAATTAAAGGTACACGAAGAAATATTTCTTCTGTTTATAGATCTACATGTATTTGCTTATTATGAAAGTAAAAGTTAAAAAATAATTAATTTTTTTAATGTTACAATGTTCTTTACTGTATTTCTCTCTACTGTATATTTTTTACAAATTCGTTGTAGATATTTTATAATCCTGACTTGGAACCGACCTGAAAAATGGTGCCAGAATGAAAAGAATATCTATTTAAAGAAATATTGATTTTATTGAATGTACACACACTGTATTACCGGCGCCAGTGATGGCAGATCACTGCAGTGCAGTGAAACTGATGGCAGATAGCTGAAATTTACCGCTCGGTACTAGGTTATAAATTTGGTTATATAAACAACGGCAGCATTTTTCTTCGACCGGACCAGATTGAACGTCTATAAAACTTTCAAGAAAAGACTCACGGGTTAGATATTTGGCTTGCGTAACCCCGATGGATGAACGTCTATATTTATAACACGAAAACCTGCCATTTAGTTAAAACTTGAGATATTTTGAACAAAAAGCAGACATTTATACGGATTTTTCCAAAGCTGTCACTTTAAACCTGCTCATAATAGTCTAAAAACAGGAAAAAACGAGTCCAAAATTACCTAATATTATAGTATCTCCAGTCAATGAACAATAGTTTCATAGCAATGACATGGGCCGTATTGTGTAATATAATAATACCAACCAAATTTATAACCTACCTGTACCGAGCGGTAAATTTCAGCTATCTGCCATCAGTTTCACTGCAGTGATCTGCCATCACTGGCTACAGTAAATTTATATGGTGTGGTAGCCTACAGTAGATATCGATTTAAAAAAAAAAATGATTTTTTTAAGTTTTAGATCTGCTGTTAAGAGAAATATCTAAATTTATTTAATTTTACCCATGAAATATGGTGCTATATCAGTCAAATATATTTCATATTTTTTAAAAAAAAATATGAATTATAAATATGAAAGTGGGCGGAGTCAAAACTCATATTTAGTTTAAGGGACTTCTTTAGACATTTTGTTTGAAAAAATTGATAAATACAAAACAAATTTCTCTTGAATTTTGTTATGAAAACTATCAAGACTAATAGAAAATGGTCTAACTAAGAAAATTAATCCGAACACCAATATCTTTAATTCAGTAATTAATGCTGTACAGACGTTTAAAGAGTTCTTTACATGACGTCACAATGTAGCGCCAAACAGCGGGTGCTTTCGCGTATAACACATGGGTTTGTGTGTAACAGTAAAAATATCATCCCTCGTAAAAATACTGTTACCCGAGGCGTAACCCATGTGTTATTAATATACTGTTAACATTAAATTACCCCAACGATAATCGAAGCCTATTAAAAATGATTGTATAAAAATACGTGAAAGAGTTCAAACGGCAAATGTTCGGGAGAATTGTCTACACAGTTTAACAAGCAAACGCAAACGTCTCGGGGAAGACGCCTTCTTGTATTAAATATTAATTTATTCATTCCGTAAGAAAGTATTTTCAGACACTTCCCACAAAACAATGCCAAGCAACATTTTAAAGAATATACCCCCGCCCCCGAAGAAACCCTTTTAATGTATAATCTTCCCTTTTCAGTAGCATAAATATTCACATACGGAAAAAATCGTTTCCATTATCATATATATATAAACTGGTTTATTATCTCACACGGGGGCAGATAACCAGATTATATATATAGAGAGAGAGCGAAACTATTTCAATATTTGAGCCGTGTCATGACAAAACCAACATAATGCGTTTGCGACCAGCATGGATCCAGACCAGCCTGCGCATCCGCGCAGCCTGATCAGGACCCATGCTGTTCGCTTACAGACCCTATAACACGTAGAGAAACTGATAGCGAACATCATGGATTCTGATCAGACTGCGCGGATGCGCATGCTGGACGGATCCATGCTGGTCGCAAACCCATTATGTTGGTTTTGTCATGATACGGCTCATTTTATGATGCTATTCTAAGGGAAGTTTTCCCGGGAAGAGGGTTATTCTTCGTGCATGGGTATTCATTATTTAGAAAATGGGGCTTGGAATACTTTTTGGGATAGTGTCTGAACATTTTTTTTCGGAATGAATCACATTTATCATAAATAATATGAAACTTTCTCGGCTTTACAGAGTGGGGTATTTGCCTTTTGACAGCGTGCTATATTATATTTATTTCACGATGACACCTTTTATAGAATAGATTGTAGAATGTTTATATTTCCGTTACGTAAATTTATATAACTTAAAAATTTAACTATAATTTTTCTTGTATACCAACTGTGCATGCCCAAGGAAGTCTATTTATAATTTATAACTAATGTGCATTGTAGGAGTACATTTGTCTCGGAGCACATAATGACATTTGTCACACGAAGTGTGACCGATGTGTTCGTAAACATTCATATTTGCGACAAATTGGAAATGAGACAGACTGATGTGTTCGACACACAATAGAAAGGACACTCGAAGCACATTTGTCTCGCATTTTTCCATAAAATTCTTAAAAGGTAATAAAATTTAAAAAATTATGCCCGTCCGTTTACCGGCAACCAGCCATTGTTCTGTGTTTTCTGTATTTATAAAACCGTTTTTAGGTCACTTCCGGTCAGTCAAAAACTTCCTGCCTCTGCATAGGTCAGGAGTCATATATTAAATTAAAGAATATCCCTGTTCTGCATGTCACAATGAAAATTTTTACAAGTGCAGCATCCAGAACATAAACACATATGCAGCAAGTCTACTGTTATTGTTATTATTTGTGACACGTTTATTTTTTAAAATGCTTTTATAAATGATTTATGGCACTAGAAATATTCTTAGCAAAAACAAGGTAGTATCTACGGTGGCATAAAGGGGACATACAGTTTTCTTATTTATTCGCTCATTCTCAATAAGACACAGCATTTGATGTTCCACTGGGTAACTCTTATACGAGTTCAAAATGTCGTTAGAATGGTGGCTGCCACTTTGTCTAATAGGGACACGCTCAGTTTTACATTTCTATCTGTTATTTTTCTTTTACAAGTACCATTAATGCCCTAAAATGTAACATACGTTACTGTCGCCACCTAGAATTTTCAACTTTGAAATTGTGTCTCAGAAAAATAAGTTCAAGAATAAACGAAACAGGTGCAATTAGTCATTGCTGTGTGTATATGAACTTTGATTATTGGTAAAAATTACATTTGACTGTTAAAATCTCATTGATATAATGGATGATCAAATGTCGCCAAATGCATATAAATAAATAGTGACAAACCTAAAACAATAATAAGTGGAACCGAAATTACATAATTGAATCGATGCATGCTTAATAATACAGCATATATATAATTATAAGTTAAAATAAGCTTGCAGCCTCTCAAAAATCATTATATTTTTTGAAATTTTCATTTTTTATTCAAATCTTTTCAATAGCATTTTAAAAAGAAACATATGTTACCATTATTTAAGAGCCAATCCATTCAAAGAAGAATCCAAACAAGAAAGAAAATTAACTCTGTGTAACTCTGATATATTAATCACAAATTATGGCGGGTTAAACGGTCTTGTGTCATTTTTTAACCCACTTTCAATGTAAAAATGAAACATACGTTACAGAAACATACGTTATCAACTTTTTAAAGTAATTTTATCAAAAGGGAAATTGAAGTCAGAAAGCACGTATAACAACACCATTAACTTCTATTTGACATTAGTAAGTTAATTTTGATAACTTTGGTCGAGTTTTAACTTGTTTAAGTAACCACAGTGTAACAAACGTTACTTTTATCAAACAGACTTTATATTGTTTACACATGATATATAAAAACATAAAATCGCATTTTTATGACAATAGAATGATGTACATTTGATTCTTAAATAAAACAGTCGATTTTACATGTAAGTTTCAATTCCGTGATTAAGTTCATAAATAAGCGAGTGTGAAACATACGTTACTCCAACTTACAATTCAACAATTTTTGAAAATTAAAGATAAAGTTGGGATTATCATGCCTGTTAGTAACGGTTACCTTGTATTAGATGTAAGAAGATACAAAATTATTCTTACAATGGAAAGATATGTTAATAATATGTTGATGTACTAGCAGAAATGTTAAAAATATTTTACAAGATATTGATGTTCTCAGCAACAACTAATTCGTTTCTGCAAAAAGCTTACTGACCGTATTTCATTCTATATATAATAATGTTAAAATAATATCCATAAATATACATTATTTTACAAAAAATTAAATTGTTTTCTCAACCTTTACTTGCATTTGAATAAAATGAAACATACGTGACATCCTATATGGGGATACATATAGAACTGCTTAGCAATAAATTTTCCAAATATTAAGAAAGTGAAAAGTTGAATGTTTTGAAACAAAATTGCTAATACAATGTACAACATTTGTGTATGCATTCGACCTCTCATATGTTATATATGATATATATCCTTTGAATGAAGACATAAAATAATCATTTCCAAAATTGACTATTTTTGCTTTCTACGAATATTTAACTTTGAAGAAATTAACTGAAAATTAGCAAGGTACCCAATTTCCTTGAATTTTCCTGGGTTAGAAAGTCCCTCTAGATAGAGAATTTACAGATTTTGATATATTTTAAAGACATTTGTTGTTAATATGCAGCCAATATGTTACATTATTAGATCTGAAATCTACGTTACCGAAGAAATACAGTGTCATTACCAAACTAAATGCCATCCTGTTATATCATAGTTTCTTGTTCAAAATATTTCTGGCAAACTTGCAAAATACCCTAAACTTTTACTTCAGCGATAAAAATTGACACAATGACAACATCAAATTTTTAATATTTTTCAATCTCAAATGCTTTATTTTATTGAGAATGGGCCTATTACGTGCGCACACAATAGCTTTTACGTGGCCACGCGATACTATTACGTGCGCACGCGATAGCAATTACGTGCGCCCGCGGATATGTATTCCGCATTTGGACCCTGATCGAGATCCTCGCATGAATAGTTCGACGCCCCGTGTATGTGTCGAGAGCCTACAGCGGTTAGGAACAAGTTTTTTTTTAATCAATCGGCCACGGAGGCCCTTAAATGATCTATGGAAGAAAATAAGAAGACCATTACACACGTATTTTGTTTTCATCAGAAATATATGTACTATGTAAAAAACGTCATTTTCCTAGAATTGCGGCTTTCAGATCCGCCATTGAAAAAACACTTACAACATGAATTGTGTGAGTTCCTAAAATAATCCGGGTAATGCCATAATTATGGAATATCGGACCGCTCAGAATCGTGCGAGACGCGACATTCCGATGAGACACGAAGCGAGGCACGATATTGTAACACAAGATCTCGCAATGTCAAAGTATCCTGTGCCACGAGATTTCAGAAATGAATAAATTTTTACTTCTTTAGATAGAGCAAGTATGAATCTATTAATATTCAAATAATGATTTCTGAGGAAGTTAGATGCTTGTAACCTAAAGAAATTCGCGATAAATGTGAAATAATGCATCATAAAAGTAGCAAAATGTAAACAATGTAGTATTTTGACTTCAGTACAAAATTCTTAATTACTTCAACTGTACAAACTGCAAAAAAACAGCAGATGAAAAATGCTTTAGATAATTAGCCAATGAGTAACTTTTTGGAGCTATAAAAGTATACCAAAAATACAAAGCTTTTAAAGAATACACATAAAAGTATTTCTCAGGCATAATGGGCCTTTAAGTGATTTTATGTAGACTATAAAGGGAATACTACTTAGCGGTATATGACCTGAAATCAGTTTCTTGTCTCGCGTCGACGAACGAGATGCGAAGCGAGACGCGAGATTTCGGCGAGATGCGATTTAATATCAAACAATTACGGTGGACATATGTAACATTTTTGACCCCCTGAACAGCTATGCGCAATGGTACAAAGGTGGAATTGAGATGGTACGATGATTAAAACACGATGACACGATGGTGAAATCACGATGATTCGATGACACGATAAAAATAATATCGCGTTTTCATCATCATGCCATCGCAGTTTCATCATATCGTACCATCGTATTTTTGCCATCGTAACATCGTCTTTCACCATAGTATCATCACGTTTTCATCATCGAACCTTCGTTTTTTCACCATCGTACAATCATTGTTTCACCATCGTACAGTCGTTGTTTCACGTTCGTACCATTATGTTTTACCATCGCACCATCGAGTTTTCATCAACGTAACATCGTGCCACCGCGCTGTCACCATTGTACCATCGTGAACGGGATTTAGTTTGTTTCAGTGTACACCTTCAGGTTAAGCCAATCAATTACTTGAATTAGAGATATTATGATTAATAGTTCACTTTAGATTTTCATAAAGAAAACATAAGCAAACATATTGATGATTACATCTGACATGAGGTATTACGGCGATCCTCGATTCTAAAAAAGAATTTCTGCCGTGGGAATAATGTGACAAATAATTCATAAAAATGACATGAGACAAATGTGCTTTCTTGTCCCTTAAAAACACACGAGACAAATGTGCTTTCTTGTCCCTTATAAACTTGATCGGAGCACATAAAAGTCATTTGTCACACAAATGAGTTTTTTGGGGTAGACATTTGAGGTCCCATTTGTCTCATCAGGGACAAATGCGACCGCATTGGTCTTACGTAAGACAAATGTGCTCGGAGACAAATGCGCTCCTACATTGCATGCCTACATATTTATAATATATTGCAAGCGACCGAGTGACCATGTTTATTGTAAACTACGGAGTGACTTTTTTTAGTTATATTTTATAATAATGTTTCCTTTTAAAAGGAAAGGCTTGTCCAGTTTTACCATCATCCCATTCCTTTAAAAATGATTCTTTAAAAAAAACAAACCTGGATCAACTCTTTAGGATAAAGAAATACTTATAAAAAATAATAATAAATTGACCTTATTTACCAGAAAAAACAAGGTACCTATTTTTTTACAGGCATAGAGGGTCAATTTATTATCACCATTTTTTAATTATTTGTATATCATAAAGGGTTTATTAAAGATTTTTTTTTCTAAAAATCTTATATTTAGCTTCATAATAAAACTAATAAAGAAAATAATCAATCGTAAAAATACTAACATTGGCTCTCCTACGTACAATGTACAATATTCAATATACATCAATTAAAACAGCTTATAACTCTTTTTCAGAATCTTAATTGACAAAGAAGATAAACTTGCTATAAATGATCCGCTGGAGAAATGAAGACTTCGTTAATAAATCACATCTTCCTTGCAATGGTTTTTGTTATAAGCTTGAATCGTCAGTCGTGCATTGCCAAAACCATTCCCTATTCACAAGGAAATGTAGAGATGCCAGCAACAGGTGGGATTTTTTTTTACAAATAGTTACTTATAAATGTTATTTCATTACACCCCAGTCAAACGAAGTTAAAGAGGGTATACTGGAGTCAGCTGGTGGTCAGTCGGTCGGTCGGCCCTTTGCAGATTTCTTGTCCGGGATAAAGCTCTAAAATTACAAGATATATCAATTTCAAATTGTGTAGGTAGATAGATCTTATTGAGTAGAAAAGCAGTCCAAAAAGAACCGTAACACTGCCTTGCCTAATTTTGGAGATATTGCCCCATATTTTTACACTTAAAACTTTTTTCCGGGACATAACTTTAAAATGACAACATGTATCAACTTGAAACTTTGTAGGCGGTATTTATAATCATTGAGTAGGAGTGCACTGCAAAAGAACCGTAACTCTGCCTTCCCTTATTTAGGAGATATTGTCCTTTGTTTATTTTACAATTTGACTTTTGTTCTTGACATCAGTCTATAAACAAGCAACTTTGTGGGTAGACAGCTCACATTGACGAAAAGTGCAGTGCAAAAGAACCATAACTATGCTTGCCTTATATTGGAGTTATTGCCCTTTGTTCACTTTTACACTTTGAACTTTGATCGGGACATGATCACAAGGTATCAAGTAAAACGTTGTAGGCATATAAACTCACTGAGTAGTGAAGTGAATAGAAACCATAACCCTCTTTTGGAATTATTGCCCTTTGTTAATTTTTAGACTTTGAATTTTGAAAAAGGTATCAACTTGAAACTTTGTAGGTAGATAGATGTAACTGAGAGAAGTGCAGTGTGGAAGAACCGTTACCCTTTCTACCCTTATTTTTGAGTTATTGCCCTTTGTTCATTGAAATACTTTGAACTTTGTCCAGGATATAACATGAGAACTATGAAAGGTATCAACATGACACTATATAAATAGATAGATCTCACTGAGTAGAAGTACAGAAATATCAGAGAGAATGACGTATTGCCCTTAAAAGAAGTCAAGAAAACTTCAAATCCAAACTTTAATTTATTTTATTGATGTAGGACAAAAAAAAAACATTCGAAAAATATCTATAAACAACTGCATTCTGCTTATCATCATCTTACGTGCAAAATTATTAAATAAAAAACACGTTTTCTGACAAGCACGCGCGCATGTGTGTGTGGGGGAAGGGGGTACTCGGCACTTGTGACAATTTCGTGTGTGTGTGGGGGGTGGAGGGGTGGGGGTGGTATTCGGCACTTGTGACAATTTCTAGTTTTTATTTGTTTGGGTAACACTGGAAACAGCAATGATGGCACTACACAAAAACAAATTGGTTTATAATCTCACAACCATCACCTTTCTGACATTCTGAGACCATATAAATTTCAGCGCCTTCTGTGCTTTGATTATTTAATTAAGTGATTTGGTCCACAATAAAATGTCTGTAAACGATGAATAGTTATGTTGATAGTATTTGGTACAAACCGTGACAACAAACCGTGAAAAATTACTTATGGATGTCCTTGGTTTAGTGTGAGAAACTAACATGATCACAAATGACATTTCAATATCGATGCCTTGTTGCGAAAGGGTTGTAACTCATAATTTCACCGAAAATGGTTTTATGGTATTTTTCAATGTAGGAGCAATATACACACATGTTGTAAAAATGTTGAACTTGAAAGCTAAAATTAAACTACCAAAAAGTATAATTATATGTCCAAAGGTTGTAACTCAAACAGACATATTTTGTTGGTGCGAAACGGTTGTAACTTAAGTTACAACCGTTTCGCACCAACATTTTGATAATATTTTGAATAAATCCTAGTGCAAAACAGTTCTATCTCAATATCTTATATCATATTCTGTGAAATATTTAGTGGATTATTTCTTTCAAACTAACTAACAAGTTTATAAAACAGTCTCAGCTTCTGATTCCTTGTTATTTACATTATAAATTGGTAAGCTTTCATTCAGACATAATACAAGAATTTGAAGAACTTACACATATTTCAAACATAAATCGATTCCAATGCTTGTTAAAGAAACAATATCATAGTACATTGCTTTATTTGACTAACAGTACTGTTATAGTGATTTTTTTTTCAACATAAAAATTGTCATTGGTATAATGTTGCATTGTTTGCAAAATAGCAAGTAAAAGTAATGGACTTATTTTGGTTTTACGAAAATGAAATTACCGTAACTCAAAATAAATTTATTATAAATAATTATTGTCATACAATATATTATGATTGTATCATAGTTTGGAAACTTTTGAAAACAAGTCAGAGTTAAATTGCATACCAATACATGCACATTGCTTTAACTCACTGTCAGTCTGGAGCTTGCTTGTTAACTGGTTCCCTATTCCTTATTCGACTTTAACATTTTTTTTTAAAAATATGTAGATGCTTTATTTCATGATTTTAATGATTGATCCTTGCAATTCTAATGCAGTTTTATAAAAAATAACTGCAACTGGTGTCTTTCTTTACGTATTTTCTTCTGTTCCTTATTCGGAGTTGAATAAGGAATAGGGAACTGGTTCCCTATTCCTTTTTCGACTTTAACATTTTTTTTCAAAAATAGTTTTATGCAGATGCTTTATTTCATGATTTTTATAATTGATCCTTGCAATTCTAATGCAGATTTATCAAAAGTAATTGCAACTGGTGTCTTTTCTTTAAGTATTTACTTCTGTTCCTTATTCGGAGTTGAATAAGGAATAAGGAACTGGTTACCTATTCCTTATTCGATTTTTTTCAAAATAATTTATGCAGATTCTTTATGCAATGATTTGAATGAGGTATAAATTTTATTTTAAACAAATACTAATTCTGCTGTTCCTTATTTAGATTTGAATAAGGAATCAGTAACTAGTTCCCTATTCCTTATTCGAAAAAGGAATACGGAACTGATTCCTTATTCCTTATTCGAAAAAGGAATAAGGAATAAGGAATAGGGAACTAACTTTATGCACATCATTTTTTTCTGGTTTTTACATATTGTGACGACAGGGAAGGAGATAACAGTAGAAAAGTCATATTCAGATGCTTATACATTTGGTACTTTTTCTTGGATGACTGGGAATGGGTTGTTTTTTTGCCTTAAATACAAAAGAGAAAGAACATCAAAACAATCGGCAATCTGATTTATACTCTCATACAAATCCGACAGCAGGGTTCTCAATAAGGTTCAGCTCAGCAGGCCAAATTTGAATTCTAGCAGGCCTCCCTAGGGGGTTCGGGGGCATGCTCCTCCGGAAAATTTTGAAATTAAGCACTTGATTTCCTGCATTCTAGGCCATATTTTGGCAGTTTAAAACTATTACAGAAGACCAAATGTAAAGGCATAATTTGAAAAAAAAAAAAAAAAAAAAAAAAACTATATAAAATTTCTCACATTATTAAATTCTATAAAAAATGTGTTACATTATGAGTATTAATCCAGTATTAAGTGTGTTGTCAAATACATTTCTGTGATTAATTGGAAAAAAGTGCAGTTTTGCCTTAAATACTGTTTTTTAATTCATTTTAAACTTAATGAAACACCATATCCTGCAATTCATTTTAAAATACTGGACCAATACAGTTATGTCGGGCATTAATTGCAGACAGGAGAAAAATATTAGAAAATTACTGCATAAAAATCACTCTTATTCAATAATAAAATATCATGTGCCAAATGCCAATCATTGTGTTTCATTTTTTAGGGATCAACACTTTCATTGAACAGAAGGGCATTTTAAAATGACTTGCCAATTATGTGAATACTCACCTGGCATTAAATGATTAAATAAAAATAAGCAAATTTTGTGTTGTCTGTTGCTGCAGACATGGCACTAACAAGATTCAATAGAGCTTACAGTTTCACATGTACATAATACATCAATGTACAGTTTTATGTTTACAAAATCAAAACAGGCCGAGTGTTCACAAAAATTTAAGGATCAGGATCAAATTAAAAACTAATATTCTTCATTGTTTATCCTCAATAGATTATATATCTAATATTAATTTGATGAAAACTTGTTGGGTTTGCGATGGCAAGTTTATGAAATTTTAGATAAATTTATTGTTATTTTTGTAAGATAAGGGAATTTTACAGTTGATCCAAATATTGATCCTGATCCTAATATTGATTCTTATTTTGAAGTTAAAAGCTTGAACAGGACCTAAATGTGTTAGTCATAAATTCTATAAACTTATTTGTCAGACATGGAACAGAGCAAATGTCACAAAAACTTTTACTATTTATGCCAACAAATCTCAGTACATGTAATTCACTAAAAATGTATCAGTTATTTGGTGTAAGATTTGAGTAGGAACATTGGATTTACATCTTTTGTCCCTGATTTGAACAACAAATTATAGATTTTAAGTCATTTTGATCAAAGTATATTGCCCTTAATTTTTATACCTAGGGTATCAAAACTTGTTATTCATATTATATTACTTGCAATAAAATTGCTTATTCATAAATAAGCATTGCATGTATCAGTGTATGAAGTTCAGTCAAAGAAAGATATTTTATTTCCCAATCCGTAATTGCATGTCCGAATAAGTTACATCCGAAATCAGATCTATTTTCGACAACACATGAATGTATTTTAGTACACATTATCAGTGTAAATGACAACTATCAACAATTGATTTTACGATTTATAGCAAACAAATCATGTGTTTTAAAGTTTAAACCCTTGAATAGTGTCCATGAGTTTTAGCAAGTATTTTCATTGCAATATTGCAGTAGGCTGGAAAAATCGGCAATGGAGTTGGACTACCGGTTTCACTTTATGCAAGTTTAATTAAGATTTATATGCTAATAAAAGTCTGTTTTCAGATTTATATCAATCATTTATTGTGTTTTTACTGAAAAATTAATAATTATCACGGAGCATCAGTATTTGACAGTCAAATTATGTTCTTAGTTTAAATGGTATTAATTGAAAATTTTACAAATTTCAGCCGGCCAAAAAGTGTTTTTAAACGGTCATTTCGGCCGGCGGCCGGCTCTTATTGAGAACCCTGCGACAGCCTCG